GTTGTCACAAAAGATAAAGCAGCTCTCTGGACAGATGGTCGATACTTCCTCCAGGTGTCATATATGGACGACCATTATCACTGTTTTTGACTTCTTATGCTAGGATTTAACTTTTTTATTTTATTTTGTTAGTGATGATGTCATATTTGTTGTTAACAGGCCGAGCAGCAGTTGACTTCTGGCTGGAGTCTCATGAGGGCCGGGAATCTTGGAGTACCAAGTAGAAGTGAGTGGCTAAATGGTGTCATGGCACCTGGTAGCAGAATTGGTATAGATCCTGTGAGTAAATATCCCACTTCTCAGTTTCTCACCTTAAGTTCCATAGATGCTTATTCGGTTCCAACTTTCCAATTTTTCAGACAGAGTAGTGGCCTTCTAAATTTGAATGAACTGTTTGAGCACATGCCATTTAGTGATGTGATCTACGTAAAATGACATTTATCCATTATACCATTTATGATCGAATTAAAAAAATCTACTGGTATAGATGTGTTTGGTGTAAGTTGGGTCGCTTTTGCTAGTTTTTGGATTGCGCTAAAATTTATGGTTTGTAATTTAGACTGTTCTGGGTGCACATTTGGTTACGCTAGAGCGTGTTTTGGGTTTGAATCAATGCCCTCACATATACAGCGGATAGCATTCTATGGTCTGCTTAGGTTGGGGTAAGCTGGGCTCTTTTTACAATTTGGGATTTCTCATGATTAGGCTATTGAATTTCAAGGATGGGTTTAAAAAACAGTTCATACGAAGAAGAGCAGAATGGTACAGTGACTCTTTGTTTTCTTTTGTTTTAGAGCACTAAATCAGTAAATATGCACTTTCCCGAACAGTTATTGAACCGTTTATGTCTCGATTATGCCAATTTTATGGGTCACGCTGGAGTTGTAGGGTTTAGAATTCAGAGTGTTCTTGGTGCAGGTTGGATATAGAGTGTGTTTGGTGTGGATTCTAAGTCAATGCCCTCGTTTATATAGCAGAAAGCAGCATGTGCTCTGCTTTGATTGCGATAAGCTTTTTTTTTTTTTTTTAGAGCTTCCTCGTTATTAGTCTATTAATTTTGAAAAATGGATTCAGAAACATTCATATGAAAGAAGACCATACATCCACTCTTCTTTTTTCCTTTGTTTTTAGAGCAATAAAATTTGTACTTTTCAGCACTACTATTGAACATTAGCCTGTAATAGTAGAATTAATTAACATAAGCTCTATATAATTATGCGTATTTAGCGGTGTTGCATTAGAATTTGATTAATGGTCTGATTGATGTTGGAGCATGCATTTTACCTCGTTTCCTCATTTCCTCATTTCTCCAAATCTAGTTGCCATACATTTTATACGAGGCTATCACCGTAAAACCCTCGAATTGGTATAACAGTTTGTTTGGCCGAATCATTTTTTGTTGTGTTGGTAATGTTTCATAATCTTAATGATGGTCAGCGAATTCTGCAGTTTGGGACAATGTATAAAATTTGGACTTTTCTTTTGCTAGTATTATAAATGAATTTTGTTTAGGAGGGCAAAAAGCCCTTTGCCTATGTCAATCGAGCCAAGTTGGCCTGGATCCTGCATGTACAGTCGACATATTTTTTTTAGTTAGTCCAAATAGATTTGAAGCAAAAATTTGAGTACCTATACCAAAGCTCATCAATTTGTAAGTTGAGATTGAGCCTATTAATACTCAACGGAATGGGCTTGCATATGAGCCGCTCGAAGCCGGGCTCTTAATGTTGCATTTGAATGAAAAGCTTTCAGCTGTTAAGAGTATGCTATTCGCCTCGGGATAGTTTCAAATAACAAGGCAATAATTTGTCTTCGTATTGTGGTTTACATTAGTTTTGCTAGATCAACCAAAATACGATCGACTGTGCTTCCTAAAATAACTGTACGAGTATACCCCTTGCTCAAATATCTATTTATTGTTGTTTATTTTTATGTATCATTTATAATAGAATTTTTCTTTGAACCTGTTCTTGTTACGCTTCCTTTATATGTTTTCCTGACATCTATCAGTGTATATGTGCAATTTATGATTTCATTATTTCTTCAGTTGCATGCATCTATCTGATCCTAGTATTCCACCTTCCTATTGGATTTTGTGAAGGGTTCAGTTCCTGTTTTCTTCCGATGCTGCAGAAGAACTGAAAGAAGCCATATCTCAAAAAAATCACGAGTTGGTGTACTTGTATGACATCAATCTTGTGGATGAGATATGGAAGGAGTCCAGACCAAAGCCTCCAAACAAACATGTTAGAGTGCATGAAATGAAATATGCTGGCGTAGATGTCTCATCCAAGCTGTCCTCGTTGAGGTCTGAACTAACTAATGCTGGTTCATCTGCGATTGTTATCTCTATGCTGGATGAGATTGCATGGCTGTTGAACTTGGTAATGTACTTATCTCTTTATTTTTAATGCGCTTAGAAAAACCTGATTTCAATTGAATTATGATATGAGTGAACTGCTTCCCAAACAAACTCACAAATACAAGGAAAACATCACCTAATAAGGTGCACCAAGTGCACAGGGAAAGCTTGCCTAAATTATTCTTGCCCGGTTCTGTTTGTTGTGGGCAAGAATTTTTTGAAACGAACACGAACAAAATAAGCCTAAAACGATATGAAGGTTGTTTCGGGACAGCTGTCATTGAGAAATGTCGCTGGCATCCGAAATAACAGGTAGCGTTGTACCTAGTGATATGTGAAATCAATACTTGAAGATCCAAATACTGTTCAGTTTAGGTAACAAAAGGTTCGTTTTGTGCCTGGTATTTTGCATTGTAAATAATGAAAGTTTTTTACATTATTTTTCATTTATTCTCTTGTAGCTGAAATATTGATTGGAAACCAAAATGAACTACAAATGTTCAATGTTTAGTTCCTACGTTTTGCCTGAGGAGTCAAAATTTCTGATAGAAGATTGTTTCTCAAGTCCTTTCATCCTCTCCTTTTAAATAATTCTTACCATTATCATTTCTAACGTTATTCCAGAGTGTTGAGTTTTTATTTTATTTATCTTACTATTTACTAATGATTAGGGTAATCAAGACTTGCGACGAATTATTATATATATCATGCCATTAGTTGAACTTCTGATATGGAAAAAATCCTATTTGGGCCAAAAGTCAAGTTTAATTGATTTATGCTACTCCTTTAGGTCACCCTTCTGCTGAACTCATAAGCATGTTTTACGAAAACACAATAGTAAATTTTCAAATCCGAGATCCTATTTCTATTAGATTATATTTTTTTTCCTTCTTTTTGTCTGGGATAAAATAAAAAAACTGACTTGTTCCAATGATAATTGAATGGAAGCAGCAAATCATCTGATATGAGATGATTGCTTTTCAATTTGTAAATGTTAATGCTTTTCTTACATTCAAAAGTTTAGGTTGGTTTTCGTTCCTTTCATTACTTGTCTCAGAACTTAAGCCTTCAAGCATCATTAAATGCCTTTCGGTTGATACATCAATTGGAATATTATATTCTTTAATTGTAACTGATACAGGGATATTGAAAAGAATGCATCTCAACTGTGCTTTCACCCAATGCTAGATGCATTATGACTCTGCCTTGTCGTATTGTTTTGAAATGACAATAAGCCTGAAATTTGGCTGAACTTATTTCTCACTATCGTCTCCTTTTCACCGGTAAATGCGTTTTGTTTTTCACAGAGAGGTAGCGACATACCACATTCACCGGTCATGTACGCATATTTAATCGTAGAGATTGATGGAGCAAAATTATTTATAGATGAAGCCAAAGTCAATTCTGATGTGATGCATTACTTGAAGAATGCTGGAATAGAGTTGAGACCATATGAATCCATTCTTTCCGAAATTGAAAGGTCAGTTTTGGAGTAGCGTTACCCTTTTGTTTGTGTCTGCTTAGTTCTACTTCACTAAATTGCTGTGTACTTTCAGCAGCTGAAAACTTTTACAAATGCACTAATAGTTTTTATGAAATTAAAAGTTGCACATGATAATCTCAACGATTGAAGTAGAAGGGAACATCAAAGCAGAAAATTATATGATTTGGAATTAGTTTTTACAAAACAAAGTCTTCTGAATAATGGAACAACCCTCTCCAAAAAAAAGAAAAGAAAAAAACTCTATTTCTCCTGAGAGTTTAGTTTAGTTATATGGATCTTACTTGTAGACGTTCTCTGTGTAAAATGGTTATACTGAAGCATATAACTATTGCCGTTTGGCTGAAAAAGGGGCGTGCCTTTGGTTGGATACATCATCTGTTAGTGCTGCTATTGTGAACACTTATAAATGTGCATGTGACAAGTATTTTGGCACCGCTGGAACTGTTAACGAAAAGAACACAGAAGCGCTAAATGGTACAGACGGTACATCTTGTGGACCCAGTTACGTGTATAGGAGCTCACCTATTTCTCTGGCTAAAGCTGTGAAAAATGAAGCTGAATTAGAAGGAATGCGTAATTCTCATCTAAGGTGATTACAGTTGCAAATTTTTGCTTATTTCAATTACTAATGGCGCTCCACTTTTTCATGATGAATTCATTTATTTATTATTAAAAAAAATATTATTGCCTTATGGACTTTAATTTTCTCTCTCTGTCTTTGTATCTACTATCAACTGATCCACTTTCCCCAAGGAGTGACTTAACACCTGACTTCACTTGAAGTTATGTTTATTGAGTTATAGATTCATACTATGGATTATCAGATTTGAATAGTCCCGATGCTAGATGGTTTATAACCTTGAGATACATACAAAGATCAAGTGTGACCAATTTTCTGCAGGGATGCAGCGGCTCTAGCACAATTCTGGACATGGCTGGAGGAGGAAATCAGCAACGGTGTCATTTTGACAGAAGTAGATGTTGCGGACAAACTTCTTGAATTCCGTTCCAAGCAAAACGGCTTTGTTGATACAAGTTTTGATACAATAAGTGGTACATACTCTCCTAATCTTGTTGACTTTGGAACTTAATGTCTTTCAATTCTTGGGGTACTCTAAAGGTCACAAGTGGAGAATACAAAAAATATTATGCATTATTAAATCATATTTTTAAAGTATTTCGTCTCTTGTTATCCCTGGACAAAAATCTAAAGGAATCAAAGGAGCAAGAATCCATGCTGGTCAGATGTAGAAATATAGTACTTCAGACTTGGAGATACTTTTTGTATTCCTTATTGTGGAACATTTGACAGGGTTCTTTTGAATTGGATGAGTTGCATGCATTATGAGCTTCAGTAGTTTCATGCAGAATTATATATCAACTTATTTCTTTTAATTACAACACCGAATTGGTTACTAACTAAATTTTCCTCAGCGAAACTTACTATGCCAAAATGTGTTTTTTTGCAGCTTCTGGTGCAAATGGTGCTATCATACATTACAAGCCAGAGCCTAACAGTTGTAGCGTTGTAGATGCTGAGAAACTCTTCCTACTGGACAGTGGAGCTCAATTTATTGATGGAACAACTGACATCACTCGAACAGTACATTTTGGCGAACCTTCTTCTTGGCAAAAAGAATGTTTTACCAGAGTTCTTCAGGTATCGATCATTTATTGGTTATTCGTTCCACTTTATCTGCATTATAAGTGTATTCCTTTTAGAAGTGTATTCTCGTTGATCTGCATTAGAAAATAAACTAATAAATAATTCACACTTTTGGCAGGGTCATATTGCGCTTGATCAAGCTATTTTTCCCGAAAATTACCCTGGTTTCGTATTAGATGCCTTTGCAAGAGCATCACTGTGGAAGATTGGACTTGATTACCGTCATGGTATCTGTCACACTTTACTGTATACTTATTGCTATAATTTGTTTTGAATGTTTCTTTGATTTAAGTAGATTTGCTAAATTATCGACTGTCTTTCATCCAAACTTTAGGTACTGGTCATGGTGTAGGAGCTGCGTTGAATGTTCACGAAGGCCCTCAAAGTATCAGCTTCCGATTTGGAAACATGACTCCGCTATTGAAAGGCATGGTTGTGAGCAACGAACCTGGATACTATGAAGACCATGCATTTGGCATTAGGATTGAAGTATGTTTTCATCTCTTTCTTGAACTATTGAATTATGAATAAATAGCGATAATATCAGAAATATCTGATAACTCTGCTTTAACAACTGTATAGGACCTTTTTATTTTTTGAATTGGAAATCTGACTTGATAATCCAATAGATTTAAGAACTTGAGAAAAAAATATGGAAATACAAACTTAAGTAACTTCGGTCCTCTGATTGAAGACCAGAACTACTGTGTTTTGGCTTCTGCGTGGTCGGCATTGAAGTAGGATTGTTATAAGTTTTAGGTTTAAACCTTTCAAGAGTTTATTCGGAACGGGGCCAGCAAAACCAACTATATGCCACGCAAATTTCAAATTCTTTCCCTAATATGTTTTGTTACGATTTTGTTTTCCATCGTTCTTTCAGAATCTCCTTTACGTTAAAGAAGTTAGCACACCAAATCGCTTCGGAGGACTGGATTATTTGGGATTTGAAAAGCTCACATATGTTCCTATTCAGGTATTTCAACTAGCTTATTGAAATCAAGTTCTAATAATGCATCAGAAAGTCCGGTTTTTAGAAGCTTGGGTTTTACCAGAAGTAGCTGGATGTTTAATCCTATGATTTCATGTAAAATAGAAGATCTCTTTCTTGTGTGCAAAAAATAAGAATTAACTTGTATCTGACAATTATGTTCTCGATAAAGGTGCAGATATATTACTTCTAACAGTTGAATCACATCTAGAAACTGTTCTCGTTTCCTGAAGGTTTTTATTTATATTTCCAATTCTGAATCTAATCTTAGACCGTTGCAGTAGATCTTTGACCTCTTGTTCTTTTCACATTATGCAGACAAAATTGATCGACTTATCAATAGTTTCTGCCGCGGAGATAGATTGGCTCAATGATTACCACAAACAAGTATGGGAGAAGGTAAGCAAATGTCTGAATTTTACTCCAGTTCAAAATGCCTCCTCGTGTTTGCACGCTGGTTACAACTTAATTTATGGCTCTATTCAGCATTTATTTCCCTTTCTGCGTATCGTTTCATTAATATATAAACACACTGGCTGTACTATTTTCGATCAGTCTTTACGGGGTCACTGACATCTTGTAAAAATTGTTTTTTTTTTATTTTGAACTTTTCGGTGGTACTTAGTGCACACCCAAGTACGATCCATTTTCTTGTAAAAAATGTCTTTCAAGTAGTTCTCTTACAAAACTTAAACTTACACACGATCCATTTTTAAATTTGTCTCGTTTTATCTACAGGTTTCTCCATTATTGGATGGTCCAGCGCAGGAGTGGCTCTGGAATAATACAAGGCCACTCATAAAGCACTAGTGCAACCAATTCACCGGATGTGTACAAGAAATAATTACGGTTTGCTGATGGAAAGAAGATTGACCAATGGGAAGAGCTTATTCCATATTGCCGAATCTGTGTGGTAAGGTTTGTGTGAATAGATGGATCAAGAGGCTGGAACTCTCTATCTAAACTAGCTACATGTATAAATATATATATGTTATCTAAAGTTTCATTTAGTTGATCACCATGTATATTTATTGTACCCTTAAAAAATAAATAAATCATATTTATTGTCTATTGATGAAAATCTTGCATGCCATGACATTGTTATGTAATTCGTCTTCTCAAC